TCTAGATATTACGCTCAGAAGGAATTTTACATGCATGAGTTACAGATTTTCCATAAAATTTTTGTTTAATAAAATCGCAAAAAATGGTATGTAAAGGTGTGAGAAAATTCCATCAGTGAATAAATGTGTATACAAAAATTTTATTTCTACCAATTTGTAGTTAATATGACACGTTTTAAATTGGCAAACTGTAGCATGCAAATGATAGACTAAATGACTGCCTCAATGATTTGCCATCAAATGCTAATTGCATTCATTTCAAACGCGTTAGAACTGCTACTGTCGTTTTGCTGTTGAAGGCGGCAATTTGATTGATATTTGTCATTAATGTATGGTTGTTGGTTTTGTTGTTTGTTTTTATAGGTCAACTTTATTATTATTGTGCAACAGCTGTGCTTTGGAAATTTAAATCATAAAAATTGCTTATTCTACTTAATATTCAGTAATAAATTGTTATTTATGTAACATTAGACTGCATCACTCCCCATACAAAAAAAAAAAACCGGTACTGTATTGCCATTGGAATTATAAAATCTATTGTATTTCAGGATGTCCACCAAAATATTTCGGAAAAATATTAAGATTTACTTGAGCTGGACCGATTTGAAAATACCTCCAAAAATGGCGTTTTTTTGATGAATAAAAAAATAGTTTCATAAAAATTAAAAAAAAAAAATGCCCGCAAATGACAGAGCGGTTTAAGCTTAAGAAATTTGCATAAAAATATTTTTAAAAAATTGTAAAAAATTTTGAACGGAATCGTAATAATGAGATTTTGATGCTGTTTTTTTTAACCTTTTTTCAATGATTAGTATAAGGAAAACTTGAAGAACTAAGCTTAACTCTTCCGATTTAGACTTGTGAGATATTTTCTCACCCCTTTTATTTCCGTTGAAATTCCGTTGAAAAGATTTTTAATATATTTATGCAGATTTTTTAAGCTTAATCTGTTTTGTCATCTGAGTGGACTTTTTCATAAAATTCTTTAAGAAACTATTTTTATTCATAAAAAACTCCATTTTTGGAGGTATTTTCTTAATATTTTTCCGAAATATTTTGGGGACATCTTAAACTATAATAAATTTTGTAAGCCCCGCGGAAAAACCGCAACTTTTTTTTTGGTGATGCAGTCTAATGTACATGTATCTACCCGTATATTGCTATAGATACATTTTTGTCTAAATCTTTGAATAAGCAGGTATGCATTGTCCTTCACGTGCCAAAGCTTCATTCTTCACCTTCAGAACTAGTAGCACGTTGAGGATATTAGGCAGCTGTTGAAATATACATACATATATTACATTTGACAAGAATTAACAAAACCACGAACATTGAAATTGTTTAGGCACTTTTCATGAATTAATTTAGGAATTACAGAAGCCAACAATTATGTAAATTTTGTACTTCTTTGCAAATTTAAGTTTACAATGTCGTAGCTAGCAATTTAAAATAAAATACCAAAATGTCCTTCCAGTCACAATGACCGTAGACCATTGAAAAAGTCAAGACAATTCAATGTGAAAATGTCAAGTAATTAAAATTTGCCAAGAATCAGTGACGTGGATTTAATTATATGTAAATATGTACACTCTATATATGTACATACATATGTATGTATGTATGCACGTAAGTGGTTACTGAGACATGCCTCCTAGTCAATCCAATTACAGAAATGCACAAAGTGACAACATAAACACGTGATTAAAAGCAATTTGGATTTAGCTTATTTAATTGCGATATCACGCTTAGCCTCACCAAGTCACTTACATAAGTAAGTGACAGGTGGTGTGAAATGACGATAGGCGCCTAGTGAAATTCACTATACAGTCATCCGAAGATCATAACTTTCGGAGGAAATATTCGGATGGGGTGCCTAACTCGGTGAACAGCTCTCACTAAAATGTGTTGCATATCGTCGATGTTTTTGCAAAACCGCCCATCGACCAGTTGCAAAACTGTCTACATCACCGAGATTTGATAACCCTGAACTCCAGGCATCGAGATTCATGCATAAAAATCATAAAATCGGTATTAAAACAACAGATTTGTAAAATAATAGGTAGAAAAAATACCGCCTCTCAAGGCAATGCCTTCAAAGAAAAATCGTGTTTTCGCTCTCCTGTAAAATTTGAGTGCCGTAAGATAGGCGGTTTTGCAAAAACATCGACGATATGATCATTCATTAAAACTGTCACAAGACTTCACAACTGGTGCAGCCGAAAAAAGCTTAAGATTTAGATTTAAGGTTTAAGATTATGATTAAGATTAACATTAAGATTAAAATTCAAATTAAGATTAATAACAAGGTTAATTTTAAGGTTAAGAGTAAGATTAAGATTAAATTTAAATTAAGATTGATAATAAGATTAAAATTAAGGTTCAGATTAAGATTCAGATTAAGGGTGTGATTAAGATCAAGTTCTAGATTAAGATTAAGATTAAGTTTAATATTAAGATGAGGATTCAAATTATGATTTAATTCAAATTAAGATTAATAATAAGACTAATACTAAGGTTCAGAGTAAGATTGAGATTAAGTTAAACGCTCAATATTTTTTATGTATTTTATATATGAGAAATGCCCAAAAATCAATTTTTTTTTATTAGAAAATTCTGTTCCTCTGTTCAGGAGATTTCCAACAACACCCAAATGTTAATTTTAGCATTTTTTAATACAATAGATTTTTTATGGATCCGTCATTGCATTTTTTGGGACATTTAGGGGTCCTAATGTGAAGGGTAATCGACTCAGTTTGTCTAAACTGGTTTTCAGTGGTTTTTGTTTGGATTTTCGAATATGGAATAAACCGGATTTTTTGTTTGCGAACAAACCGGTCCTTTTCATTTCATATAAATCTTGGCCTCTCAATAAAAGTTTTGAGTTTTTCGATAGTTTTCAAAACTTTTTTAAGTTTAAGGGACATTCCTAAATAGTTTAAAACTATATATCCTAGGTTATTTGGTGATGAACAGTATACAGAATATTTGGCGTTTAAATATTTTCCTCGTGTTTGGTCGAGCTTCTCCACCAATCCGTATTCTGCTTCTTAATGTTGTGATACAAACGGAAAGATCTACACTTTTACTCCACCTCCGAAGAAGCTTTATTATGGCAGAAGTACACTCGGAGGTTTACCATTGTCTGCCGAGGGCCACCGCTATTTAAAATTTTTATTTTTTTTTTATGATTTGAAGATGCTTAACACGCGTTGTGAATCCACAACATAATTATATTTGAATTTGATTTCATCCAGAATATGCTCATTGCATTCCTAAACGTTTTTTGTATTAATTTATGAGTCTCATTTCCTCAAGGGTTGAGTTAAAATTGTTTAAGAACAACTCGCTGTTGGCTTGCGGCTTCTCAAGTAGCACACTGGTGTATAAATTGGTGTAAATTTATGGATTTTGGTACAAATCTGATTAAATTGAATAAAAAAAGAACATTTTGGTGTATTTGTTATTCCACCAGTATTTCTTTCAAATCAAAATTCTACCTTTAACGTTTTGGTACTATTTATTCATTGAGATTAGTACGAAAACTACACCAGCTCCTAAAATGCACCACTTTTTTTATTTGGTTCACAAATTGCTCAACGTTGACAAATGTCATTAAAATTATTCAGTCGTTTTATGTTTACCAACCAACATTTTTGCGTATTTTTATAAATAAATATATAGCCTCATTGCGAGTGTCGAGTCGAGTGCAAGTCGTATAAATATGAAATATTCCAAGTTCAATTCCTATTTGAAGTGCTACCGTAGAAAGAAAAACTTTTTGAAGAGATTAAATAACTGTGTCAAACCAATCGACAACAACTTGCAAAATGACCGACAACTATTTGGAAAGTGCGGAAGCATCAACTTTTATATTCGAGACGGAAACAATAAAAATTCTTCATTATCCGGAGAGTATATTATTTCAAAAGAACCAATTATATCAGAGACAAATGATTCAATTTCGCACGATGGTTTGGATGATAATGACGAGGTGGTGGAAAATATATATCGGGAAGTAGAGCCGTCTTCAGTAGACTGTGTCATTGATGATGTGAACATCCATATTGACTTCATGTCTAAATTGGCGGATTGGGCTATAAAATACAAAATAGCCCACTCTGCTGTATCTGAGCTACTTGTTTTATTGCGGAGCGAAGGAAAAACTGAACTGCCGAAAGATGCGCGTACGTTGCTCCATACACCGCGTAATGTGGTAATACAAACAATGGGATCCGGTTCATTCTGGTACTATGGCATTGAAAACTGCTTGCGAAATGCATTTCGTGACATAAATCAAACAATTCAAGTACTTCTCAATTTCAATGTTGATGGTTTACCCCTGTTCCGAAGTAGCAAGTTTCAGTTTTGGCCAGTTTTAATTGACATAGCCAATATGCATGAAATTAGACCAATGGTTGTAGCAATTTATTTCGGCGATTCGAAACCACCATCCAGCGAAGAGTTTTTAAGATCATATGTTGACGAGATTAATAGTCTAATTTTAAATGGAATTGAGTTTCCAAACGGCTCAAAAATATTGATCAAGATTAATGCGTATATTGCAGACACCCCGGCTCGAGCATTTATTAAATGTGAGTAAAGCTCGAACTCCATAGCATGCATATACATTCGTGTACGTACATTCCACAGTCAAGTTAGCAGATACATAGCAATAGCAATGTTAATGATATAAATGATATAATACCTAATTGTTTCTGGATTTTACAGGCGTTAAGACACACACCGCATATAACAGTTGTACAAAATGTAACGTTGTTGGAGAATTCGATCGATCGGGAAACCACATGAGCTTTCCAAGGTTAGATTGTCGACGAAGAACTCATTTAGATTTTATAAACAAAGTTGATGAAGATCATCATCTATGGAATTCAAGAATGCGACAGTTTTATCACACCCCTTTGGAGGAAATTGAAGGCATTGACATGATAAAAAATTTCCCTATTGCTGATTCGATGCACTTAATTGAATTAGGTATGTTTATTTTAGAAACATATTAGCTCAAAATTAATATTTTCCAACTAAAATCATGTTTTAGGTATTACAAAGCGATGTTTAAATGGATGGGTGAATGGTTCATATAATTTCCGTACTAAAATGCCTGCTTATGAAACGAGTACCATTTCAACATGGCTCAAATTCAGCAATGAGTGGCTGCCATCTGAAATCACAAGACAGGCGCGTGGCCTCGATACATTGTCGTTCTGGAAATCAATAGAATATCGAACATTTTTGTTATACCTTGGCCCAGTGATAATGAAAAGTTTTTTGCCAACTGAGTTTTATAAACACTTTTGGAATTTAGTTTTAGCAACGACGATATATTCATGCGAACGATATGTACAAAGTCCCGGAGTTCTTGACGTCGCTAGGAATTTGATGAATGAATATGTGGAAGAATTTATATCTCTGTATGGAAACGACTCTATCAGCTCCAATGTCCACAATTTAATACATGTTCATGATGACGTTCTGAAATTTGGATCTTTGCGAAATATTTCTGCATATCCATTTGAGAGTACGCTGTATTGGTTGAAATGTCTTTTAAAAAATGGTTCCAGACCTTTGAGTCAAGTGGCTAAACGTATTATTGAAATGAATAAGTTGAATTCCCGGCCTTCAAAATCAGCCGTATACCCCATTTTAAGCAAACAAATTGTCGCAAGCTCTGAAAGGTATGGCAGAGTAGATTTTTCAGCATTCATGCTATCAAATGACCGAAAGAATAAGTGGTTTTTGACCAATAATAGTGAAATCGTTGAAATGATATACGCGACATCAAACAGCACCACAATAAAGCCATTTGTGAGTCCGACAGCAATTATTTCACCAAAACCAATGCAAGTTCAAGAATTTTATCCAAATGAAATGAAATCATTGAACGAAGGTGTACACAATACAGGACCAAATGAAGGGGTCGAACTACCAAGCGAAGAAGAATTACTTCAGTTTCTTAAACTAAATTCAAATGAAGCAAATGGTGAGTTGTTTATGGCCATTTTATTCATAACAACGAAATGTGTCTTAACTTCATGATATTAACTATTGCAGTTTTAAAATACTATTTGGTGGGCATTTCAAGTTTCCTGAATCAAAATAATACCTGCAAACATAATAACGACGTTCTCGCATCCATCCAAGAATTGAAAAACTCTGTGGAATATCTAGGAAGTGAAGTATTTGCACTACAGGAGCTTGTAAAATCAGGGTCGGTGACTAAATTCATGAACAAGCCACGTGAAAAACGTTCCCTAATATCTGACTCGACTACAGAAGAATGGGTAGCATCTGAAGAATATGAAGGTATATCATTTCCCAGACTGCCGATCACCTCAATTGATGTGCTAAATCATTTCAATGCGGAGTTGACTGAAAACCAAAATGAGTATGTACAAAAAGCAACAGACTACATTCTATCAAAACTGGACCACGTTAAGAAAACTAAAAAACAATTCACGCGACGAACACAATTAAAATCAATGCTCTTTGCTGATTCACTTTTAAAAACGTGCACATGGAAAATAGCTGCACCAGGAAAACCTAACCGCTTTTCTTTGCTAAGTGCCATTTTAATACTATTTGTAGACGTCGTAAACCAAAATGTTGATGAAAAGATAGACTTAATTGGTACTCAAAAATACTTTAGAGATTTGCTGAAGAGAAAAAATGCTGAAGAAAAGCAGAATATGGAAGATCAAAATGCAGAAGAGATCGAGACACAAGTTACAACTAGCATGCCATTGAACGCAAATATTTAAATAATAAATCTGAATAAATTTTTTTAATTCAACAAATCAGTTTTTTATTTATTTTATATGAAGTTGTGTGCATTTCTTTCACAGTTCTCAGCAAATAAAATATGCCGTAAAATATGTTTTGGTATATATAGTCATGGCAAAAAAAATAGGGGCACGACATTTTGATTAGTTTTTGGTTTTGTTTGATTAATGATTATTATATTTTTTATTCAAAAAATAGAGCTTATTATCTAACAAAAACCATATAAGTCGGAATTTGAAAATTGTAGAAAAATTATAAAAACTCAAAAAGATTTTACAACAACAACAAACTTTTTATTACGAATGTACAAGTAGCTAAAAATTAACGTTGCTTTTTCTTAGAACTTTTTTGTCGGATTTACTTCCATATAACGAATAAACACAATCTATTTTTATATGGAAAAAAAACCGCTATACGGTCAGCAAAAAATATCAAAAATCAACGCCTTTCTTAGTTACTTGTTGTTGTAAAATCTTGTTGAAAAAAGATTTTTGTTAGATAATGAGCTGTATTTTTATAAAAACTACCAAAGGTTAAGTAAACGAAAGAAAAAGAGCAAAGCTTGTCAAAATGTCGTGTCCCTTTTATTTTTCACAATACTGTATTTCCCAACTGTGCATTGTTCGTCTTTTTTAATTGACAATGTACATTTTTTATACCAAATTCTCAAATTGAATGGTGTAAATTGTGAATATTTCTAAGTCTAAGGCAAAATAAATACACCGTTCTTTTGGCTTGGTAAATATTTTGTACCAAACTCAAGAATCAGTGTAAGTTTTCGACGACGACCATATTTTCAAAGTATTATGAAGGTAAGGCTATGTTTACAACCTAGAGTAATGGCGTTGCGCGATGCGATGGATATCGGTCGATCAAAATTAGGCGTGTATTATTTGACGAGAAATTTAAGCTATTAGCTTATTTTGTGTGGAAGTCGTAGCCAATATAGTGACTCCTTCGCCAGCATAATCGCTATCGATTAAAAAGCAGAAAGTGTTTAAAGTGTAGCAAAATTATACACGACTAAATATTAGGTTTTTTCCACACGAGCCTGCGGCTACCCGCGGGTGCCCAAAATGTCCAGAAAGCTTTCCTCACTCTAGAAAAATGGGTAATAGAGAGCGCATACCTTCCACTTTTGGATCGTAAATGTCTTCTTCTTCGTGCCCGAAACAGCCCGGACTTTTTTTCCGGGCAGAAATGTGCAAGAAGTCAATTTGAAATAACAGCTGTTGTTTGTTTACATCCGATAGCAAATTTTGTAAAATACAGAAATGGAAAATAGCACTAAAGGTTCAGAAATGTAGGTATCTGCTAATTTTATTAGCTACATATATAAGACAAATAAACATAAAATCATTGTTTACAACTGATTTCTTGATTCCGGGCACGAAAAGTAGTTTTTTGCGTTCCTCACGCTCTGGGCACTTTTGGCACGGGTTGACACATTTTTGACACTTGTGAGAGAGTAACTTGATTTTACGCTCTAATTACTGAAACAGCCCGAAAAGCGTATGGAACAAACCTATTTATAATAGGGAAGTTCACGATTTTAAGTGTAAAGTTGGCAAATGCTATTCATCGTGTACTGCCCTATTATAACTAGTTAATCGTGTATGATTTTGCTATGCTTTAAACACTTACGGAGATCTTTTTATTTGTTTCTATAACCTTTTGACAATTCATGCTGAAACCTAAGCATATTGTAGTGTATGTAATAGCAGTAGAAGAGCTGTTTTGATTTATTATGTACACATGTACATATATGTATGTATGTATGTATGGCTTTAAATATGAGAAAAGCTATTCACTTTACAAAAGACATATTTTTCATTTGCTTTCACAGCGATAAACACGAATGACTGTGTAAATGATGGCTAGTAGCGATGTTTATGTATTCTCGCTACGCTAATACGCTAGGTTGTAAACTTAGCCTAATCCTGAAACTCGGCTGGCCGCCATATTAAAGCTGTATGACTATTATTTAGCTAATTTAACAATTTCATTATGTACATTGACTCAACTATGCCACTTTATGGATATTTTCGACCCTGTTTTAAACAGCGCATCTCTTAGAAATAAAAAAATTGCCAAAAAATCACTACTTTCAAAATATAACTTTTTCCAGATTTATTTAAAATCTTCAAATCCTCATAAATTTTGAGGCGCTCGATTTTTAGAGGGGGTAGGACCGAAATTCACTCGACAGAATGTACCTCGTTTTCAAATTAGGAACTCACATTCATATATATTCGCGATTTTCATGCCTGCATATTATGAATGCTGAGATTTATAAAAAGAATTCTAAGTTGTGCAGATTAAAAAAGAGCTTCGGTGTAAATTTTATGTCTGAGTTACTTTTAAATTTGATTATTAGTAAATTTTATTCCTCGAATCTTTTCGTACTCTTCACACTCATAGGAATATATTTATGCTAGAATATGATGTAAATAATTTACCATTATGGTGTATGACTTGAGCCAATTATGAGTACGCATTTTACACCAACGGAGTTTATTTTATGTTCTAGAAACAAGAAAACTTGTATACCACTGGCATAATATATATACAGAAAATCAGTAAAAAAAAATTACGGTAGGTGTAAATAATACACGAAACAGCGGTATAACCTTTACACTGAATCGAAATAAACTGTTCAAAAACTGCGCTTAGAAATGGCATATTTTTTATATTGAAAATGTATATCACGCCGATGTAAAAAATACACAAAATATTTTGGTGTATTTTTGACTTTTGTGCTACTTGAGTTTGGTCTTACCCGTATCAAATTCTGCGTGCTATTAAAAACTTATAAGTAAACAAAAATTCTTATATTTTTATATTAGTGCTCATGAGTAAGAGTGCAATTATATATGCACATACAGTATCGGTCATATCTATAGCACGTCGATTCAAAGTGATATTGTTTGCCACTTATGTTTATTCATTTATTTTTAAGAATTTTCAATTAAAATACAGTTCATTCTCAGACAAATCCCATACAAACCCATGTGTAACAATTTGTAGACAACTACAAAAAAGTCCAACAAATTTTCAACTAAATTTCAAACTATTTTCTCAGAAGTGTTAGAACTTTTTTGAGTACACAGTTTTTTAGCCCCTTCAATTTTAGTCTGATGATGTGCAAGTTTCAAGTGGCTAAAAGTTACCGTTGATTTTTTAGAATTTTTTTCGCCAAAGGTGTTGCGGATTTCTTCCATATACAAATAAATTCAGTTTATTCATTATAATGAATATATATGGAAGCCAATGCGACAAAAAAAATTCTAAAAAATAAACGGTAATTCGTAGCCACTTCAAATTTGCAAATTATCAGACTAAAACTGAAGGGGCTACAAAACTGTGTACTCAAAAAAATTCTAAGACTTCCGAGAAAAAAGTTTGAAATTTATGTGAAAATTTGTTGCACTTTTTTGTAGCGTTCTACAAATTATTAAGCTTGGGTTTGTATTGGGTTTTTCTGAGAATGAACTATATTTTAATTGAAAATTCTTAAAAATTAATAAATAAACATAAGTGACACACAATATCACTTTGAAATGGCGTGCTATAGATATGACCGATACCGTATATACGGCTGTAAAAGCATTTACAGACAAATTGAAATAAAGCAAATTATTTGCCTTATTTAAATACTTACATAAATACATATGTATGTATGTATATGCCTAGGGTACTACTCATTGATGGATTTTATATGTCGGTCGATGTAACTATTCTGTTGCCGCTAAGAATGCGTATTTGTAGCTGATATTTTTGCTTTGATAACGAACAATTTTAATTACTTCAATCGCTCGTTTGTGTGAGTATGTGCTCGCGGGCACGTATACAGCCAATCATTGAGGCGAAGAAGTTTGTAGGTATGTATGCATGCAAGTGTAAATTATTCATAAATATACATACATACCTACATACCTACATATGTTTGTCTATATGTGCCTATATTTATATCGGCATTACGCTTGAGTTGATAAGTAAATCAAGTGCAAATACATTGTTTTGAGCGCACAATTAAAATGAAAGGAACAACAAAACAAAAAAAAAACGAAAAATAAACAAAAGCAAATATTTATGTTTAAAAATACTTTAATTGAGTACTAATGCCTGAAGTGTGAGTTTATTGTGAAACGAGAAGCTAAGTTGTTGGTTTTATGTGCCGCTTGCCGCTTGCCGCTGTCCGCTGGCTGCTTGCCACATGTGTCATTTACATATAAGCAACAATGATATTAACTACAAGAATAGTAATTATTGCACGCAATGGTTTTTATTGCGATTGTTGTTAAATGTTTAATATTTATTTTATTTTTATTTTTTATTTTTTAAATTGTGGCTTGTATGTATGTCGAATCAGCATGATAAACTTATGCTCACATAATGATTATTTAGTACAGTATTTGCTGTTTTTTCTTAAAGATAATTTTTACATAACCGTTGCTTGTAAGCAATGTAAACAAAAAGTTTTGACGGTAACAATTTATGACTAATGTAATTCATGTTTGTCTGATAAAGTGATTTATATGACCGGATATGTTATAAGTAACGCGTATTTTTCGAATTTATTACATTTAAAAATAGTTTAAATGCAAAACAGGTCTAAGTTCATGACTTCTGTGTTTTAATCAACTTTCGACTACATTCAGTTTTTTTCTTATTTATTTAAAGTGTTAAGCTTTTGCCTGTTGACACGAGTGCAGTCAAAAGTGGTTACGATATAATGTCATCTGGCGATGGTAAATTCTACTGAGCATAAGGAGTTCCCTCGATATTTTTACGTACCATTCCGGCTGCATGAGATTTGTCACCATTGTTCAAGTTCCTATTTGTTTCCATTACTCGCCTGCTTCTGAGAATTCTGAGAAGAGAAATACCTGTATTGCGCTTGCATTTTTTTCACACAAGAGCATATCTAAAATGGTCGTAAAGCATTTAATTAGACTAAAAAGAGAAAATGTGAGAA